CAGTGTGGTTATTTATATTTTACATTTATACTTTTATTTCGCTAACGTTATCCATAATCATAATAATAAAAGTGTTACTTTTCAAAACATCATCAGTCACATAATCAGCCCCTCATTTACAGAATGTTCACTTTGTCTGGTTTTGTTGCAGCATGCCCCATATTAATATCACATACTACACTCTCAAATTTTCTCCAGACGATAGTTGAGATAGTGTTTTGCCAGTTTTGCGCCTCATTGTCACCATCACTTAGAGGACAAAATTTTTTCGTTATTGCAAAACAAGTTTGATCAATCTATTCACGGAGCAGTTGACTATCAGATAATTGTCAAATGTACATAGACGTGTTGGGTTTGTTGTTCCAAATATACGGAAGTAGTCTCTTCAAGTACAAATTACAACGGCAACCTGTCCGGCTTGTTTAATGTCTCACCTCAATAGTAATAGTGAGTCTTATAATTCATTCACCATGCACTTAACGGTTATTTTTTTTATTATCCATCACTGCCGCCTGAAAAGTTCTGGAGTGATGATGAAGACCAGAATAATGTTTGGTGCCACAAGTTTGTAGATTTTTGGAGACAATAATTGTCAACACGGAATCGTAATCGATGCACTCCCATCGTGAATGGTATATTAATATTAATATTGGTTTTTTTACGCGTTTTAACCCCGCGTTACACAGGTCAAAAAAGACTGTTAGGCGCACCTGTGTTTGCATGTGCATGCTTGCCTTTTTTTGATCTCATAACCCAAGTGATAGTGAATGTCACGATTGATTATCTCTAAATAATAACGAAACGTTTGTGCAAACAAAGATCGCCTGCTGACGAACGAGAAATTTTCGTATTTCTGCGCTGAAAGAATGTTAGCTGATTGGTCCGTCATTCATTATTCGAATTGCAAATGTCTCACATGAACCATGCATACTTTGCCGCCCATTCTAACAAAGAAATTAAAATAGCATTACCACTGATTTGGCAAGTAACCTGGCTCGATCACTTGTATCACTTAATTAAGAGATATTTTTATATGAATTCTCATTCCCAGGAAAGCTCTCGTCTATAAAGCTATGAAAAACGAAAAGACACAAGAAGCAGTGGCAACGCCGGTACCGCAAGCTCAGAAAGCGGAAATCACAACTGTCGAATCTCCGCGGAAGCTTACAAAAGGAATAATATTTAATTATTTGAGTGGAATTGGAGTAATTGGAATAAGTCTATATCTCCAGAGAGATGCAATTAACCCTTGGAGCGAAGAGGGCGGTGACATAAACGTCTTCATGGTGTTAGCTTTACAAGCTACGCTTGTTTTGAAACTATGTCTAGCCGGCTCTGTAAGTGTAAATTTCTAGTGCGGAATTATAATCTTAAACGTCAAAGATACTTATATATATCGTTCTCATTCCGAGCAGGTAACTCCTGCAGACTACATAATTAGAGCAACTTCAGAGGCAAAACAATTGCTAAAGAAGACAGGCAATGAGATAAAAGATTACAATAATAGAATTGCTCAAACCGTAAAAACAAGAAATAGACGATGTTGGGAGTGGTTAATATTCTCGAGTGTATCGTTATTCGGATCGTATTTTATGATGTGGCGAGAGGAAGACGAGAGCATAATTATTACAGCGTTTAAAGTTGGCGGCATCTTGTTTGTGTAAGTGACTCGATTGGGATGGCAAATTTCTTCAGAATCATTCTTTGAAAAATATCATTGACTTTGCTTGCAGTATTTGGCTAGGAAGAAAAATTATTTATTCGTTTTATACGCTCAAGCATAGAGGACAAGGTACTTTTTATTAGATTGTTATTTTTTTTTCTTCGTACGCTCTTTACAAGCTAAAAATTATCTTCTTTACGTAAATTTTAGTCAAGAAACTACAAGCTCTACAAAAACAGGCGGTTTCTAAATTTGAAGAATTTCAGAAAATGGCTTGTCTCAGCGAAACCGCAGGAGTAATTAGCGAATTCAAAGTTGCAATGGTAATTTTGCTGTTGATTCTTGTTCATTATCCGACTAAATTAGACATCCTGACACACCGATATTCTCTTCGCAATTATTCAGTCACCGGGTGCTTCACAACTCGCCGCTCAATCACAAGCAAACCATAAACCGCAATCTTCAGGAAAACAGCCCACCGGGTCAAATCCGTCAAACACGCAATCAAAGTCTTTAAACCTTGGGAAACCGAACCCTGTTCCTATGCGTATGCCTTCACCTGTTCAGAACGAAGGTGAGTCTGTCGGGTGGTTTACTAAGCTCGCTGCGGCGGTAATTGGTATCAATTTGGAAGAGGATTCGGAAGATGACAGGAGTAACGAAGATGAGATTGTAAGAAAGGAAAACGGTGAAAAGGAAGTAAGCGAAAATATAGAAAAAAAGGAGGAAGAAAAAGAAAGTTTTGCAGTGAAAGAGGAAGAAGATTGATTAAAGATGGACTTTATTGTAAAGGATGTTGGTCTCGATAGTTAACCAATTTTATAGAGTGAAGGAACATTGAACTTTTCTCCATTTGACGTGGTCTTCTTTTCTGTCGTTGTTTTGTTTCCTTTTATAATTGGATTTAATTTGATTGTATGAATCGCTCTATCACATCTAGCGTCTGATACATAGCTCAGCATGTGCCACGGATTCAATTCAGAAAGAGAAATGTTACGACAACAGATCGGAACAGACCGATGATCGAGAGGAGAATCTCAATTATCATTCCATTAAGTTTTTTACATAGTCATGGTTAAGAATAGAAAATCATTGTATTCATATTCAGTATTAACATGTCAGTTTGAAAGACTTATCATTATTATTCATCATTGATCACATTTGACAGCAAACTTTATGAAATAATAATTTATAACGCATATACGTATTATACACGATAATATCAACTTTGTGCTGCATTGGATAATATGAGATCAGCTTGAAGTATCGTCAACGAATTCAATGACACTTGTATTCACTAAGATACACGATCTTGATTCAACTCTCTTTGAAGGTGGGCTCTTTCAATTTTACTGATATAAGTAATTTATACATTTACATACTGCAAAAGAAAAAAAAACCAACTTTTGAGACGGGAAATTTAGTTTATCAGTTATATCATTTGACAAGGTTTTGGATAATAAACTTAATACGAAATCATTTATTATTAAATTTAAAACAATAATTACCACGATAAAAAACTGATTGGCGTAATTAAAATTCAGTTTATCTTATGTAATAGTTGTTATTAACGCTAAATGCTGTAATCCATTTCGGAATTCGTTTATTTATTTACGTCAGCCGTCTACTTATACAACCACAATACCTCAAGTGCACGATTGTCAAACCCGTGTGCTGAACGAAGACCTCCAAACCTCAAGTGCACGATTATGCTTTTTCGTCAATTCAGTGAGTTGCCCCCCGCAGATTATACTCGTGCTTAAATTATAAATACTGCAACTCTTGTTTAAGGAATATTGGCCTTTATTAAATACTTTTCATGGCGTAATCATGACGTATTGAATGAATAAGGAATAAGTATCTATACGTAATCGTGATGCGCAATCGCTCTGGTTTCACAACACGCATCAGTTAATTGTACTGTACATCATTTTGAAGCTAAATAGCAGCACGCCGTGGCGTTGATTCTACAAGACTAATTAGAAGGTTATTCGGAAATTTTGTCCCACCTTTCACGTTCTGATTTTTAGGCTTACGCATTTACATTCTTTTTGACAATCCCCAATTGTTTTTAGGTCCGGACTATTAGAGGATCAGCTATAACCTTCGGAACGTTGTTTTTAAGAAATTCTTGGGCAATGCGACTAGTATGTTTCGGGTCATTATCCTGCTGACGTCGCCAATTGCCCTTTAATATTTTTTTATCTCTGGAATATGTTGTTCCAATATTTCTGTGTAATATTTCCCATCCATTATGCGCCGAAACAAGTAAGACTGGTTTTTACCTTTTACACAGAAACCACGTTGCCACCTTTACGCCTCACATTGCCAGTTTTTCGATCTTTTTTAGATTATTTTGGACGGCATCTTTGTTACTGATTGAATTCGGCAGCCGTTTGCATCTCTTGCCGCAAAAATGTAACATCGCTTGACGTTGGCTTCTCTTCTTAGATGGAGACATCTAATGCTTTGTGAAATAAAACCTTTATTATAAGAAAATCTACCTTGAAAGTTGTAGGAGCTTTTATTTGCATATTTAATCATGCGCTTGTGGATGAAATTGACGAACTTACACTAGATATATAATGTTGCATTTATACTCAAGTATTATTACTCTTAATAATCTATAGCTTACCTCATACAGTGTTTGAGGCTTTGACACTATTTTTGAGCACGAGCATTAGGAGCATTGAATAAATTCATCAATGCAATAACGGTGCTTTTACTTTTACAATATTCTAAAACACAATCACCAGGCGTTTGTATTAGTAAAAGGTTTACGAGTTTTAATAATTTAATGCACGTGATTAACTGCATAAAATGCACAAGAATTTTGTTGTTGAAATTGATTTAGAATAAATCATAGCTTGGTAAAAAGAAAACTTCAACAATAGCGAATATTTACTGTCTGTCAAGGTGATGACAAGTTCCAACGAATACAACTTTGCCTCGGCAAAGTTATCCGATTGATCACAATGTGCATGAACGGTACGCGGCTGTTAAAAGTCTGCAAACACATTTTATTCTCCGACCTGATTGCTCGCTAGATATGATCTTAAATTGTACGCGTGGTAATGAATAAATTGACGCGGTTTCGACATCATTGCCTTGGTTCATTCCTCGTCAAATCAAAAACTTTCAATGACAGATTCTTCCGTTATTAAAGAAAATCAGTGTCCCTATTCATACTGGTCTTTATACTTCAACAACGAAGGTTGTTAGGATATTACCTCAAAGATTATGCGAGAGCACTGGAGCAATTTAGTTGAAATTTCTAATCGCTGATGTATCGTATTTGTTCTCAAAGTTTACGATTATAAACACAAGCATGTGAGCATAATCGAAGAGTTCACCAAGTATGCTCAAAATATTGGTCTGCAAGTCGAAAAGGTTTGTTTGGCGCACGTCTACATGGATTTATTAAATTACAATACTTTACAATAACTGGGCCTATTGGGCCACATTTATTACATTTCAAGGAAACAATACTAAAAACGCGTACAATTAAGCTTGACTATAATCACTTTTTACAGCAAAGTCTGTCTAGTGAGCTTTTGCATCAGTTAAAGACTAGTCCGCGACCTACATTAGATTGTGCAGCAATGGCATTATGTGAACTATTATTCGAACCAGATTCTGTTAATTACAAACTTCGTGTTCGTCTGATTAATTATGGACAAATGACAACATTCAAAGAGCTATCAGCTAACATTATAGGTTGTTTGCAAACGTATCTGATTATCGCGTTTTGAAACGTTACTCAAGTTCTTATTCTTTCTCTAGGGCATTTAGTTTCTGTGAGAGGTGTCGTGACATCTGTGCATTGTCCCCGCACATATTCGACGTCTGTCAACGTCACGTGTGCTATTTGCAACGAAAAGCAAACAGTACAACTTACTTCTGGTGGGTCACCGTCTGTTACATCATGCAAAACGTCCTTTTGCAAGAACAAAGGCACTCCCAGTTCTCTAAAATTCGAAAGCCATGTTGATCTGACCGATTGCCAAACAATACAGTGAGCTTTCTTTTTTCTTTTTTGTAATCGCGCAATGACATGTTTTTAATTCGAAAACATTCGGCAGAATTCAGGAAATATTCACTTGCGAGAGTTTAATGGTTCCACAAATGATCGAATGTGAATTACGGCACGAACTTGTGAATATAGTAAACCCTGGAGATGCTGTATATGTTACTGGTATCGTAGAAGTGAACAGCCAAAAAGGTTATTTTACTTTAAACATGGAAAATAATGCCATGGAGATGCATGGGACAATTTATGTATATTGATCATTATTTGACGTTAAATTTTAAAGGTTCATACAATAACCGTCATGTGAAGAAACATACTCTGTACATTGATGTTGTTTCCATAAACAAAATTTCAAATTCCGAAGAAATTGACCAAGAATATGCCCCATTTATTGCCGAGGATTTGTGTTTGATACACGATATTGTTGGTGTATCGAATGTCTTTAAGGTTAGCATCTAAGTCATTACATCGTGCAAGTTGAAATTTTTGTAACTTGCTAAAAAAAGTTTGACATCAGGTTCTAGTCAATTCGTTTTGTACAGATGTCTTTGGACAAGAAATAATTAAAGGTGAACGAAACACAGTAATTAATAATCTTGGCAAATCCTTGGGCAGATTTTTAATTCTTCTTACATTTTTTAGCTGGGCTATTGCTGTCATTGTTCGCTGGAGATCACTCAATACATTATAATGAACATAACGTATTACATGTTTTAATTGTTGGTAAGCATATTACTTACGTTATTACGGATAAGATCTATACTAGTGTAATTACAAACTTATCCTTACACGTCGTATCGCATCCTTTCTCATCTTCTACTCTATGCTTGCAAAAGGCGATCCAGGCACTCCAGCAGCACAGCTTATTTCGACGACTACAATGCTTTCTAATATGACGGTCGTCTCTAGACAGACAACACCTGCGGAAAACCGAAAATTAACACCACGACTGTCTCGTGAAAATCTATCGAATAATTGGATTCTGGAAGCAGGTTTGAGTTATAGGGCTTGAGGTTAAGTTACGACGATAAAAACGCGTACGATATATCTGATGTAATTCAATCAAAAGGTCCTTTGGTTGCTTGTGATCGAGGCACATGTCGCGTAGAAGATTTAAGTACATTTCAAGATTTGGATGCTTTGGCAGAAGCGCTTGATAAGCAGTCGGTCTTGTACGTTGAGTTTCTAAAATACCTTGACGATTCACCTCATTCTAACGTGTAGTTGTACATGCATGCTCACAGGGTTTATGAAACGGGAATAGCATGCAAGTTATTATGCAGGACAAGTCTTCTGTAAGTTGATCTAGTGATGAGTGAAACGATAAAGAATGATATTCAGTATTAGTTTAACTATGAATCATGACCCTAATAGAGCCACAGCTAATCCTACCAAAGGACATTACGAGTGAGTTTTTTTTTCTCACTTAATGCAGGGCCAAGTGGTCAACAGCTTACGTTATATATATGTTTTTTTTTTCGTCCAGCAAATCCAAGACAATTGCTGAAAATACCAAATTAAAGAATAACCTGTTATCTCATTTTGACCTCGTCTTTCTCATTCTCGATAAGCCTGAAGAAAGTTCTGATAGACATTACTCGGAACTAATTATGAAGGTACATATAATCAAACATCGAAATTGATCTTATACACGCGCCGTTTTAATATGATCTTTTCAACTCTGCAATCTCCTTAGGCACGTTCTCGAGGTGAATTCGGATCTTCGTCACAATATCAAGGTATTACGATCATCTGGCAACAGGGAGATGGTGTTTAAAAGTCTGCACGCTTACTTTATCTTATACGTAACAAGGTTTTCGGAACGCTTCCACCAAAGCTGTGACTCACGCAACAGACGTGAAATCGCGTTTGAGAGTATCTCAGGATGAAGGGTTTACTCCTGTTCCACTAAATCTTTTGAAAGAATACATTACATATGCGTCAAGGCATATACATCCAAGGCATTAACATATATATCCTCGTTTATACAATTTCCATTCTCTGATTGGAATTCGTCCAATCTTACTCGCTATTTCTCATTGTTTACGATGTAGGGTGACCGCATCTTTACGCGAGAAAACAAAATCAGTTTATGAGAACATGCGTCGAAAATATCGATCTTTTGTTGACGAGACTATTACTTTGAAACAACTGGAGACTCTACTAAAATTATCTATTGCTCGTGCTCGCGTGGAATTGCGGGATACCGTGACCCAAGAGGACGTTGAAGATGTTGCTGAAATAATGTAACTATCATCTCCTTCCCACGGAACGTGACATACATATATTATACGCCACAGTATGGCGTCTCAATTCATCGAGAATTTTCCGAGAATTCCTGTGTTTACATTTTTATATTGCTAGAGAATATTGCTTATTGCAAGTCCAGCGAGACGATATCCGTCAGCGAAATGAGTCTGGTAGACATGCATGCTTTTCTTTCATGGACTATAAATATGTTTCATAAAGAGCTAAATTCGTCCTTGTGCTTTGTTAGGACGTCGGTTGAATAGCAGGCAGGCCGAGGCTCGGAGGTATTTCTATAGAACTATCTTTATCACGTGTTTGTGCATTTAACCATACTGATTCAGTATTTAGATTACTATCGCATCTTCAAGGGATTGCTTCAGCAAATCAAAGTGATACTTTCACCCTCGACGAACTATCTCAGATTAGCACAAGTAAGAACCACTCTTGTCTTTTCCCCAATCAAGATCAACTATAGCTAATCTTATCATTGCCATGCGCGGTCAGCTTTGAACTTGCAGTATGATAATTTCCAGGCATTTGTTGATTTCCTGAATGAGCAAGGGCTGGTACTCAAGAAGGCACCCGGAATTTACCAGATTAGATAGATGATGGTACGATTATTGAGTATATGACATGCAATCAACAGCGCAAGGACTTGAACACTTATATTCTTTACTACATGGCCATATCTGCTACTAAAAAGTCAAACACTCTTTCGTTTATTATTTCATCCATGAGATGATGATAACAACATAGAATGGACTCAACGAGAAAAGAATGTCTTGCCATTGACAATCTACTTTTTGAGGCTCTACTTATGTACAAATTTGAGGGGAAGGGGAGGAAATGCAGTTTTTAAACTATACAGAAATAGCGTTCATGACATTTCAAGAAATCGAACCGAAAGACAAGAGAAGAGGAAAAGTAACTGCGTAAGACTAGGAGGAGTATTAAATGAATTTACTTTTGTTTGCTGATTATGTCGCAAATAATAGCTAATCAAAGCAATCGGTAATCACCCGAAAAATAAAACCAATGTTCATATCACATAATGCAACACTCTAAACTAATGAAAACAACCTAAAAGGAAGAAAAGAAAGTGATACGCTAAGCATAAAGAAACAAGACATAATGAAATATCATAACAATAACTTTGTAAGAACATAAGATAATTCCCCGATACTATCGCCCTCTGCCTGTACTGCCCTTTTTGATATAAGCCCTGTAACTTTACAAACAGCGGCCTCGATCACTATGACATCGATTAAGATTATTCTATTTTTCAATTATAACTGGTTCTTCCCAGACTGCCGTGGGCGATTGCCACCGCTCGACCTTCTCTTCTCGTTCTTATTATTATTGCCTACAGGCGAACCAGCCCTCTCATTTTGAACATTACCGCCTGTGTTGTTTGTATTTCCACTGTGTCGGAAATTCCCATTCTGATTTTCAACGTATCTATTATTATATTGATTCATTGACGCTCCATTGCGATTGTTCCCGGCAAAACCATTATTACGGTTGTTATTTCCCTGAGCCGTTGAACCTTGATTACGATTGCCACCTGTGTTAGCACCAGCACCGCTAGGTTTACGTCGTTCTTCAATATGGATAACTGCTTGTCCGACATTCACTTGTCGGGCATTCAAAGCCGCACGATATGCTTCGAATGTAGAAAATCCAGCAAACGCACATCCCTTGGTGGGTACAACGTCAAGATACTTTGGCACACCGAATGTGCTGATAGCCTTTTTAACCTGCTCATACGTCAAACCGCTTGCAACTCTAATATAGACAGACAGCGAAGTATCGCTATTACGACGGTGTTCTTGCTGACGACCACTTCGTTGCTGTTCACGAACTTGAGGAAGTGGTTTGCCCTGCGGAGGCGCAACCGATGCAACACGACCTTTAGTTTCGGCAAGTTGCGAGCTCCATTTATCACTGCCATTAGCTGCAAGACTGGCCCAGGATTTTTTAACTGGCTCTGTAGGGATAGCCTGTTCCAACTTGGTAAACTCTTGAGTCGGTGAAGTAACAACAGGAGGGGAAAGTGGTAAGCCAGGATACGATTGAAGGTCTTCTGGGTTGGCTTTAGCTGGTGGTTCCTGAATGGTTGTATCAACGTCGAAGTTCTCTAAAACTTGAACAGATGTTTCTTCATCCTGAACATTTTTAGTTTCAACCGAAACTTGTTCGGCAGATATGACTGATGTTTCATTGACATTACTACCAGCAGAAGCTAGAGCAGAAGTTTGCTGAGAAGTTGGCGCCGTTTCCGACACAGCCGGAACCGCAGGCTCTACACTGGTTTCTTCTGCTTCAACATTTAGATTTTCGTTAGCTTTTACACAAGTCTCTTTCGCATAAACAGTTGTGGGTATACTATCTTGGGTGACTACTTCGGTTAATTGTGCTTCATTATTTGTTTCAGCATCAATCGAATGAGCAGGTTCTTCGGCATTATTGGGTTCCGACGTTCCGTTAGACCACGCGTTTACAGGAGTAACGTCTGCCGTTGTTTCGTTATCCCTTTTAGGAGACAGTTCGGGAGCTACGTCGGCAACCTGTGTTTCTCGTGGGTTTGACATTTCATAAATGGGTTCTTCTACTAAGGTTCCTGCTGGAGAAGGCGATGTGCTACCATCTGTTAAAGGTTTTTCAACTGTGTCAGGGATTTTTTCCTCCACAGAGATTCTTGACTCTGCTTCGGTGCTTCCCTCGCTACGACCGTCTCCTTCCTCATCTTCTTCCAAGTCGTTGACAAAACGTGTGATATCGTTCAAAATATGGTATCGGTCTGGAGCAACTGGAGTGAGGAATACTGTTTGTACAAATTTGCGAGGCACTTCATCTCTATTAGCCTTCCAGCCGATTATTTGAAGTACGATGCCGTTGTGAGCGCTGGCTTGGGCATCGATGTTTGTCACCTGAACTTTGCAATCGTGGTAGTTCATATTAGAGATTTGGTCTGAAATCTCAGTGTGTCCAGTGTAAACAGGTGCTACCTCGCCCTCATCACCGTAAACGAGGGCGCCGTTAGTTGGACCGTACAAGCGGTACAACTGGTCTGGTTCTCGGTTGAGAATCGTGTAAAAGTGTCGAGCAAACTCGGTCGCTATTTTTTGTGCAGTGGGCGGGGAATCGTGCTCAACGTGAGCTGCGTGGGTGTTGTTCTTGTTTGTGGTCATCATTATGTTCTTTTCCTGTAAGTGATGGTAAGGAAGCGGGAATACAGAGTCTTTATCGTATCAAGGCGCAAAAAAAGGCGTTAGATAAAAAGCGCACGGTAAGTGACGAAGGCTCAGGGAATTATTATAAAAGTAGTTGCCTATCTAATCTGATAATGGTTGGTAAGGGTATTTATATTATAAAAATTTTTCCGATTTTTTTTTTCTTTTTGTTTTTACGCCCTCCGCAGTATTCTGTGATCTGATCGCTTTTTAACAATGTCCTCGTGTGCTGCGTCTGAAAAATCGTTTGACATTGTTGTTACAAAAAGTTCGATTGTGGTCTGATTGGTTTTGTATTGTAATTTTGGTCCGTATATGGTAAGACAGCACTTGCGTAAGCATAACTCCTTACGATTCCACCGATAAATACACGTGCGACACGGAACCAAGAGTTATGATCGATCCGAGTGGCTAAATTGTCAAACAATGAAGGAACTCTGTATTGACAGTTTCAGGTAATAATGTAGCAAATTGCCAAAAGGCTACTTGTATATAACAAAGAAGATTTTTATTTTTCCCCCATTCCGAATCCCAATGTTATACATTTGCATCATTCAGAAACAATCTTTCAATGTTTAAAAGAAATGCGACGAGAACAAAAATGCCGTATTCACACATGGTACATATTTTGGTTCATATCACGTGATTAGTAGAAAAGAAGTGTTTTGATGTATATGTATACTAGACAATCTAATACCTTTCCTGTTGTGGTTCCGAATTGATATCCGGCACACCAATAAAGCGCTATTCTTCGAGTATATCTTTTTTTTCCGTCATGAGACGCCTTCTTAAAACAAGCGACGCTGAAATGGGTGTTCCTACCATAACTCGGGGCTAACTTACAACAAGTTATAAATTCGACTTTTATCCATTCATCATCACGATTTCTTCGAACTGACATGGGTGCGTCTGAGATTGAGACTGTTTGAGATGCGCGGATTGTCAAATATCTTCGTCGCATTCGGAAAGCAACCGTTAAGCCTATTGATGTGTTCTGTTTCATGCTAACAAACACGAGTATAATAAAATTATAAATATCAATGCAGTATAGTCATTATATCTTCATTAGATAGATATACAGTACATGCATGTATGTGGAACCATATAGACTTGATACAGTGCGCAAACCTATCGCATGATTGATATCATTATCGGACTCATGATTAGCAGGAGAATTCACTGTCATTCTACATGTGCGAAAAGAGACCTCCCCACTAGATTTCACTTGTCTTTGAACTAGAAAGTTTAATCTCCTATCAATAGTTCGTCGCCCACCTTATTCGAAATAGTATAGTCAGGCAATCTCCTGTGCCCTATTGTTCTCCCCGCCTTTCCCTATGCCATCGTTTGCATCAACTTCATCCGCATCATCTGCAGAGCCTTCATTATCATCTTCATCATCTTCATTATAGCGCATTCTTAACCATTGCATCCTAGGACCACTTCGGCTTCTTTCATTTACTCGAAAGCCAAATATTCGCGGTTCATATATCTTCATTTCATTTTGTGGTTGTAAGTCTGGAAACTGTTGAAACAGCAAATGTGGGAATGTAGTCCCAAAATAGGCACCTTACAATAAACAAGCAGGCAAATGTCAGAGAAGAAAAACGAAAAAAGTCAATGGAATGTAGAAAATTTTATCTATTTACCGTCCAGCGTAACAAATCTCGAACTAGGCGGTATATATATGTCGAGACAGTTGGGGCAAAAAAGCTTAACGGTATCCCGTCCCGGCATATCACTTCTTCCACAAGGAACGACTGGACACGATTGACAATAAACTCGCGGACAAGTACCAAAATGTCCTGATTCGTATTTATCAACCTAGCGCCATAATCAGAACAAATACGAGTTAATACAGTTAAAATTTACGATATCGATTTGTTATATATATTCACCATTTGTTGCAAGCCCTGACGTGTTATTATGTAGCGTTGATGTATGAGTCCATATAAGAGTTCGGCCGATGCTTCTACTAGTGATAGATCCGGAACTTTGACAAGATCTTCTTCTGAAAGATATTCTAGTATTTAGTAAATTTATTATTATATAACGCCAAATCTTACAGAGCAGAAGAAATGCCTTAATGTCTACTACAGAAATTACACTTTACACACACAAGTAATTAGATAATTTACCAGGCTCAGCGTCCAAAATCATTTCCATTGCTTCTTTATAAAAAGTCACTTGCGTACTCAATCCCGTCAGATTGAAATCATCTTCAATAAAATCTTCGGCCACTTCTGCAAAATACTCGTGGCCAGAGAGCGAACAAAACCATGATATCCATGTAAGAGATTCCGTACCGGAATCATTAGATGAGTCGGATTCTGTCAAAAGCATGACCAAAAAGTTTCATTATTAAAGTTGCAGCAAATCTCGAGAGTAAGTACTATCAACACATATTATATTCAATTGGGGTCGTCAGCTAAAGTTAGAGGCAAATGATTCTGATAAAACATTTTTGTATCAGCAGCTCATCCCGACGTCCAATACTTTTTTCTAAGCATATCAAAACATAGCACCCTTTGCGCAGTAATGAAACTAGTTGACAGCATTTCATTACCTTGATACTGTCCATTACCTTCTTGCATCAGTTCTTCATCCTCTTCGTCCAGGTGCGAACTGGGGCGACTGCTCGGTTCATTGTTTGACGCATTAACGTTACTCGAACTCCACATTTCTATGCGATTGGTATATGTAATATACTCAGAGGGACACCACTTGTACGATTGTGTTTACGCTACTAAAGCGCTAAATTCTCTTCTTTTTTTCCGTAGTACGATAAGTAATAGGGACGTTGTTAACAATATTGCCGCAGTCTTTCGGGTGCTTGAATACGTCATCATATATGCTTGTCCGACTGGATTTACAACAATCACAAGAGCTATAAGACGCAAACCTTTAATCTAGCAAAGAACGTACATACATGCATACATACATATATCGTTACAATAATTAAAAGCTACTTGTAATATTTTTGTATATAGTTATATACCATCTATGTCAATATTTACAGAAATCCGACATCACTGCATTAAAGAATTAAATATATGGTCTTTTTAAGCAATTCGCCTATTTCTTCCAGCTTTATATTACCCTCTCGCCATAGTCTTGTCGTTTCTTTTAAAACCAATTGTTGCTCGGGAATGTGAGTATCAACGGGAGTATTCTTTACGTTTATATCTGTTTCAACATTTCTTGACTGGGATAGTGTCCCCTTCCCGTGCACTTGGCTTTGCAAATAACACCTGAATGCTTTGATCAATTCTGCCAACTCTTTCGGAAGCATACCCGAAAATATAGAGTATCTCTCCGAGTTAACGTAAACACAGCACCCCCCCTTGTCATCTCCATATTCAATTTCATGGCCAAAGAGAGCGAGAATTATATCGCCAATATTGTGATTAGCCTTTGCAGGACTAATCAGACAAGTGAGATGTTCTGCGACATACGATGACACTTTTTCAACAGCAAGCAACCTGCCAGCCGTAATAGTATATCGATAGTCATCCCCAGGATCTACAATGAGGGGGAAGAATAATGACGTTGGTCGAGGACGAACGCGACGAGAATGTCTGTGATAGACTGGTTTGAATAAAACCTGAGTTGTTGGTTGTGCATGTATACCTGAAAATTTTACTTTTTTAGATTCTTCGTTATTAGTGTTTGTATTAGCTGAATTATTAACCCACATGGCATCTTTCATAGTTCTGAGTTTTTGTGAAATGAACACAGCGTCTGGTAACTCTACTGCAGATTTTCGACGCGAATGCTTCCATAAACAGGTAGTCGGTTTTGTAAATTCAACGTAACATTTTTCTAAATCATCTCCGTTTGCTGAGCGCGGGTCATCATCTGGATGAAATACTTTAGCGACTTGTCCAATGCCCTCTCGTAACATCTTTACCACTTCAACCTTGGGGGGGAGTAATTGAGCTGCAAATTCTATAGTATGGTTTCTATTATAGTCCTTTGGACACGCATTCCATACACGAGTACTGCCGTCGAAAACAATGTATAGCATATTGTGATGAAAAGCCGCCAAGAGTAAAATCGATATCAACAAGACATCAGGTTCCTCTTTTAGTTTTGGAGAATTAGATGTTATTTGATATGTGCGATCAAATACATTGAGTTCAGGGTTTAAAATAGACAGCGTATCAGCAGACATTTGATGGACAATCGTGCTCTTTTTCGATGGATAACTAGTTGAGGTTGCGTCCTTTGTTTCATCGAACTCTTCATCGTCATCAGGGTCCGGTTCAACTGCACCTGCAGCAGCATTTTCGAGTATTTGTTCCACACGATCCATTTCCTCCTCAATCCCACAATCTTGTTCGTCTTCAATATACTCATCATCATTGATGTTTCCAGTAAGATCGCTATAACGTAGACGATTTCTACGTATTCTGTCTCGATCATTCTTCGTTGGGTGGCTGCCAATACCTACATATGCCAACGAGTCGCGCACGCTAAGCACTAAATCCTGCACCTCGCGTATCCAATACAAACTGACAAAGTTCTCCGTACACCATTGAATCTCCTTCTCTTTGTCTACATTCTCGTCGTTATTCCATGTTTCCTCCCATAACAAGTAAGCACGCAAGTGAGATATCAGATCAGACCCACCGTTAAAGGGACAATCTTCCGGTAGATCCTTGTGGTATCGCTTGAATGCAGCTGCAATTTCTATTTCCATATTGGATGGCTGGACAATTATTCCTCTATTTTGTAATATTGCTGCTATGATTATGCTATGATTCGAAACACCGAATATTAATCCATATCGTACCAATAATCCAGAATGAAGATCGAGTGGTAATTGTGCGAGAATTTTTCCAAGCTCAGTAGCACGATATTCTATAAAGGAGATGGTCCGTATCCATCCATCATTGTCCTCATGAGTTTCGCTAGATTTAAATATAGCCCCAATTGTTAATAAATCTTCTATGGCCAAGTCAATAGCGTCATCGCTCGGGGGATCGATACAACGGGCCAATAGATCGCGAGGATCTCCAAGGTTGGCGTAAATGCTGCGAAGGAGTAGAGAGTTCAACGGGATCCGTCCAATTTCGGGGGTGCGTTCCTCGGGGAGTCTGTCGTAGAAGCTTTTCGTGACAAATCTATAAAGCTGCGAATCAAATAGTTGTGTTATAGTAGAAGCACACACGTTTGCTGTCTCACAGAGAATGATGATTTTGTCCTACCAAACCAGGCCCAACTCTACCAGCTCTTCCTCTTCGTTGTTCGGCACAGTCTTTGCTTATCCATTGTTCGTCTAAACTATACGCTCTACTTATTTCATTATAAGATATATCCTTCCTCAAACAAGAGTCAAATATTATAGTGACATCGGGTACAGTAATTGAGCTCTCGGCAATGTTCGTTGCAAGAATAATCTGTAAAATATTGATGATTAGAAACCAGATGCAAGAGAGCGTTAGAATCACAACAAACATTACCTTGCGTGTTCGTTTTCTTGGACGTCGCATGACCAAGTGTTGTTCATCAATCGTAACAGTTGAATGAAGTTTTATTATTTCTAAGCGATTGGGATATTTGCGGCCCTCAAACTTTGCCATCTGTCTGAATTAACAACATGTCAGTATTATACCCCTCGAAATTGAAAACCAGACCGAAATTTAATAGTAGAATTACTTGTAATATTCATTATAATTTATTAATTCTTCTTCCTGTAAACAAGAACGAGTATTCATTAATTTTCTCTTCACTTTATCATGACTTATTATAGAACATTATCAATTACCAGTTCAGCAATTATAGCTATTCCGGGTAAGAATACCAGAAATGCTTCCGTGTAAGGCTTCATACTATGGCATTTGATGATCCATTCGACAAGAAGTCTCCGCCTTTCTGCTGATAACGTTGGTTTCTGTGGCTCTTGCATCGCAGCATTAATAGACAATTCACCAAGTTCTAGTCCTTCGCAAACATCTTCCAAGTAGAATACTTCGACAGGATAAGTACGAGCTTTTACATCTATACAGGGTATTTCTATGAAAGCATCATCCTCGTGCACTTCAAAATCACGAAAGTATTTGGCGAACTTGTTCACATTCATGGTGGCCTGCGAAATAAACATGGCATTTAGTATTACAATAAGGAAGGCATTGTATATTGCACATGCCAACACCAACAAAAAATAGCATACTAACCGACATAATTATTAACTTCAGTTTATGGTTCTCTCTCAAAATAGAACGTAAATGAGCCATCATCAAATCATCATCCACATTTCTTTCGTGAATCTGAAATTTTGGCAGAGTGACAGTTAGCAAGCAAATAAAGAAGACATACTTAGCAAATGCTTTTGAATATGCTTTTGTACCTCATCCATTATTATGTGCGAATATATGCTCAATTTTCGATCAGATTTGAGGATTTCTAACAAAACGCCAGTCGTTACATAACGTAATCTGGTCGATGAACTGACGCCTCTTTTTCCCCCGATATGATATCCCACCAGACCATGCCGCTCCGTCCCTCTTTCTCTGCTTACTCGATCTGCCAGTGAAGTAGCCGCAATACGGCGCTATCATTGGAACAATATATAAACGCAATTAGTTAAAGAATTTCTGACAGGCACGTCTGAATCCAAATTCTTACCGGCTGAGTACAGATTATATTCACATGTTCTTGTCTTTGTAAACAATCATCGAGGATAAACTGGGGGACCTGAGTTGACTAAAAATGACCACAGAGAATAAGCTTTTGATTCCTCCATTCATATTAAATCTGAATGGGAATCGCTTAGCACCATTCAAATACCTTGCCGCATCCTGTACTACCACTTAAAATCACAACTCTATTTTCACGAATCAGATTAATAATATCATCTCTTCTCTCATCTATGGGTAAGCCTGATCTGTCTATATGTTTCATCTGTATCGAAGATGGATGTGTGAACGGATTTGAGTACGTAGATTCACTTGCAGATATTTCAGACGCGCTATTTTCCGCGTACTGTAAGGTTAAAAAATCGTTCGCCACCGACCCGGCGGCCTCGGACTCTTTGTCCGAACACGTTGCATTATCTGATATTGCTAAGTGCTCGAAACGTTCCGACACTTCTCCCTGATTGATATTAGCTGACACTGCTAACTTGGTTGACTCTTGTGACCTCTTTTCTGCGGCTTCCTTAACCATTTTTGCAAAGTCTATGAAGTTGACAGAGCAATTACTGTTACAGGAGTCGCTACTGCACGTCGATTCACTATCACTTTCGCATTCCACGTCTGAGCTGGACAGAGTCGGGTTACATTGTTCTGACAGAGTCTCAATCGCGGGTGAGTTGGTGGAACTGGTCGACTTTTGAGGCGAGACATAAGGAAAGACGTTTGTATTGGAAACTTGGTAAGCATCTTCAGAGATTATAATCTCTATGTCGCTCGGTTCACTGATTATTCCGTTCGCTTCTTCTTCTTCTGCCTCTACAGATCGTTGCCAGTCGTCGTCGCTATTACACATTATTATTATAGTCTTTAGAATCCGTAATTTCTGCAACGGATTAGCATTATATTAATATTAAATTTATGCGATCGTGATACAGAATTTTCGGTCTAATCACATATTCGCATTCTCTTACCGGATTTAGAAAGCAGTCGCACTGTGCACAGTATGCCCTGATGAAAAAAATGTGTTAGAACGCACGCTCGGGCGGCGGTTCTGCACGATGAGGATCATGGGCTGAAGGAAGCTTGTTATTCTGAGTCAAAGAAAAGCCAGATGTGATGACAAAGTTCTTTTGTATTAGTTGATAGTGCTTGGCTTGCAGAAACACTATTGTGAACGAATCATAAATAGTGATAGCTCGCAACTACTGCTGAAAGGTGCTTTACAATTTGTAATAAATATTAATACCTGTTATTTATTATTGGAAACGTTGTTATTTTTAGCCTTTATTTTGATAACGACACTTTAATATAAAAACCCAGTGACTAATAAACCGAGTTGCGGATACTCATTGCCATTGTAAGATTAACATACATTATGGGAGTATTCCGTTATCATACAGTCTACCACGACGAATAAAAGGCCGTCCAAACCCAAACGCAAGAGAATTCATACTTTGACTCACAGACTGGTAAACACTTCGGTAAAATTAGCTTTAACACTTTAAAAATTTCTCTGAATATAGTAACAGTATAAGTATACCATAAACACTGAGATTTCAATTCGTTCAAATGTCTAGCAACTTTTTCACTTCACCTTTAGATATCAGTGCATTGTCGGTCATAAAAAATATATAAGCTTTTCAGTTCAAATTTTTTTTACACTTGTTCTTCTGCACTGTCATATTTTGAAATGTAATTTCGTGACTCACTGCTACAGATGCAAATGATCTTGCGACATGATGCGGATTAATAGATGCGCGTTTACTACCAAGTATAATAACGTTCTTGGTTTTGGTTTTCTTCTTAATCGACCACATATCTAAAGGGCGTATTAAACCAAGAAAAGGTAATACAAATCGATTAAAAACATGTGGAGCCTGTTAGGGGCGGTAGGATACGTATGACTGCTACTGTACAATTCTCTGAATATGAATTGATCTTTAGCATGTAAATCGAGTAATTGTGTATTCGATCACTGATATCTTATCATAAGATCTTGGCAACTAACAAAAGAGTTATAAGAAGTAATTTACTTCAGAAAGACTGCTATTATGAGATCTTGTGTTTAATACAATACGGCGCTTATAAGACGCCATGGATAACACGAGTTGACGTATTTGTTAGATAGACAAGTCATTGCGCATTTATCGTTATTTTGAAATGTTATTTTGTCATGAGGCTGTTAGTTATGAACGACGCTGCTAAGGTAAGCCAAACAAAACTCGGTTTTTGCGCTACTCATTTTACTGGTGTTTTTTAGTGAAAGAAAAAAAGCTTCACAATTTACGAACGCACAACAATTTTGGCTCACAGACTTATCTGACAGTACCGCGTATGACTTACTGTAGCTTATTATTATCAAATATTGAACGACATTATTTTATGAACGATTAATTTATAGTCATTGGACTTTACGTAGAATATTACAGTGTGTCGCAAAAAAAGAAGAAGAAAAAGTGATAGCAAAAAGAATTTTATTTCCACCGTTATTGAAAGGTTAGAAGCTTAAAAATTTTCAGTATCTAATTCTATCCCCATTATGCTGTAAAATCAGTTTTTCTTCGACGAAATAATGTTTCGTACTGTTTTTGAGGAATCTCCATTGTTCAACCATAAACTGCTTCAACTCGCTTATTATTAAGATCCGGACTGTTGGATAGCATTCAACTACATTAACCCGATTCTTAACGATAAACCTAACATGGTTATGGTTGCAAATGTCAATTCTACCATATAATTTTTTAACACTGGGCTTTCAATATATTAATGTGGCAGGGTCTATCTACAAATGTCAGTAAAACAGAACAATAGTGTCTTGCCCTTTAGAGAGATCGTTTTCCCATGCCATCACCTTCTGTAACTTTCGGACTGGTCTTTATGCCACTACAGGTTCTTGTTACAAAAGACAGTATTATGGAAAATCGATGCGGACTAATGAGTCGAAATGACACTCTCATAGCGAACGGCCTTCCGATTGAACATGACAAGCTTT